CCTACCCTAGATCTAATCTTTTATTTTTACTATTATCCTTTTCTTTAACAAAATAGCTACTATTTCTCTTTTATATTAAACATATATAATACAGCTTAATAATTAATAATGCTCTTTATTCTTTACCACTCTTCAATCATACTAGCACACCGCTCCATCCACATAAACTCATCTTTTCCAAAAACCCGCCTCATATACATGTCCGGCTTCAACATGAGTCCCCGCAGCTCTTCGTATAAGCAAACCAGCTCTTCCCGATCTCGTAGAATTGACTTGCTATTACGCGGTGTCGGTCGCTTATTAATCGTCGTAATCCAGCCTAGTGCTTTAATTACCCGATTATTTACACCTCTATGTTCTACGCTTGTTAATATTATACTTCTTCGTCCTTCTTGTCCTGCTTCTCTTCTCTTACCTAATTTTGTCGTCATCTCCGCAATCGGCATTGCTTTACATCTCATAGAGCTCTCCTTTGACCATGGAAATGCATCTCTGTCCAAAAACCACATCATCCGCGTCGCAAGCGCTGCTGTAAACGTCGTAGGCTCTCGTCGCTTCCCAACAGCAAAACATTGCTCTTCAATCGCAACTGTATGCTCCACACATGGCGTCTCTGTCGACGAACCTAGCGTCATTGCCAGCATCAGCAGTAGTGATGTAAGCGGATCATCTAGTCTACGCTCGAGCGTCATCCGTGCCAGCGCATAATGTTCTCGTATTGCTTGCTCTCGACTTCGAAAAATATTATCAAGCTCGTCAAATCCAGCCTTCACTATATCTGGTAGCTGCCGAAATGGTACGCTTGTTCCAAATGTTATTCTCTGGCTCTTAAGCATCTTCCGCCGCTCTATGTATAGCAAATCCTCTGCTGCCTGCCGCTTCATACCACTCTTGCTTTTTATCTTAATACATATCGGTTTCCCTATTAGCGTATTGACTTCTCGAACGGTTAGTCGCTGCCGATATTGGCCCGGCAGCCAGTCGATTTGTGCTCGGACCATTGCTGTCTCGATCCCTACTGCCCACGTAGCAGCATCAATAGAAGTAGCGTCTGTGTGTATGATTGCCGCTTGAAGTAGTGATGGCCATGTTGCATGTATGGATGCATATCGTGCTCGTTCCCTTATATCCTTGCTCTTTATCGCTTTATATAGCTCGCTGCTGAAATCGGCTCGTACTATAGATCGGGTCGGTCGTGTCTTTCCCTGCGCTGTGTTGTAGAGCAACAGCTTTCGACTCACTAGTCGATCCAAATGTCTGTGTTTGTGTTAGTTATGTCTACATAGTCAACCCCTAGGACATACTCTTGTTTAAACGGCGCTATTGATTGCTGCCATTCCTCAATCGTCTTTGCCATTCGTGGCGTTACCTGCAAATGCCCAGCTCGAGCCTCTCGCGTCATCCACCGCCGTATCTGATGCAGCGTAAATGCGCGCATCTCGGGTATAAGTATGTCTTCGAATAGCTGGCTTAGAAATTCGTTTAGCTCCGACAAGCTGCCAATGCTGATACCGCCCATACATGAAAACCAAAGCTGACTATGCCGATTGCTTGCTACTTCTTCGCCGTAGTGGAACGCAAGCGATGCAGCATGCATAAGCAGCGGTTTTCCACTGTTCATCTTCGGCCACTGCCCAAGATGCAGTCTTCCTGCTTCGGGCCGCATATCTAGTATATCAGGGTTGATATATGGCCACCCGCCCTTGCTTAGTGCCTCCAATGTGCCTGTCAATCCAAAGACCTTGCGTGGCAGCACGTGTGGATCGCCAGTGAAGCAGTAGTTTCCAAGTCGATCGATTGCTGCTATGCTCTCCGAGAGTGCCAACCCGAGCCCTTGCTCGCCTTGCTGTACATATCTGGCATGTATTTCCTCCGTCATAAGCTCGAATACTCGTGCCATGGATGAGAGTACCTTGGGAAATATATTCGGTATAAATCGCCGTAAAATGCTGATATATGCATCTTTTTTATG